TGCATATATTAAGTCATAATTTCCTTTTTTAGTTTGTGTTTGAGGCTAAATAAGTAAATCCGGGTACAAATAGCGTAGGTAAGCGATAATTAAAACAAAAAATGATATCTAATGCTTCAAAATTTAAATGATAGGAATTTAACTGATCAGATATCAGACCTACAGCCGGATACAACACTGTGCAGCTCCACTGCGGGTCCTGTCATCACCATTGATACACATCTGAGTGATTATTTAAAATCGTTGACGGTTATGCACTGCGAAACTAGGTTTCGGAGATTTCAGAACTTTCACCGAGGAGAAAGTTTCGGTTTAGCCCATATCACTAGTTGCCGTGACTCTAGAATTTCTACAGCATTACTCTCTAACTCTCTACCCGTGACCGTGCTCAAATAATATACCAGCATAACTCGTACTATTTTTGATGAAAGGATAATATTATTTGCCTAACTTCATTTAAATACTCTACAGATTAATAGATTACGTATAGAGCTCTCTCTATATTACTTTATTTTCTACAATTTTAAAATTTATATAATTGAAAACTTAAAAATTTATTTATTTAGCAAAGTTAAATGTAATACAGTATAATAAACATGTGATGATTTGTCAAGACAATCAAATTTTAAAACATGTGACTCTATTAGTTGCTACTAATCGTCAACTAACGCTAAGCTTCCAGCTAATTTGTTGATTGATTGATTTGAAAATTTTTGACTAAGTCGGGACACTATATCGGACCAACGTTCAAAGGATACGTCGGAACCTGTTGGTACAACCTCACCCTTTTCCATTTCGACTTGACGTTTTTCATAATACTTGAAATCATCTAATATTGATGTTTGGCTGCGATAATTGTAAAATATTCTTAACATTTCACGTCCGGCTTCAGGAAACAGTTCTTGAGTATCTCGACTATTAGTAACGGGTTTTTTATCCTCATTGTTTCTGTGTGTATTTTGCAAAATTTAGGCTTAATCATTAGTTGAACATTAAGTAAGAAAATTACATTACAGCTAAATTCAGTAATACATACAATATGTTAATATGCTTCAATTGACTATTGGGAATATCTTTAATGAAAATCCATTTAACTTTAAATTCACCCTTCAATTTATCATGTAACCAAACGTTACTATCTGCTGCATAATCAACAGAAGCAATCATTTCTGCCATACCACAGAAATGTCCACTGAATAAATTATAATAATCTTAATAATTGTAAATAATGAAATATATCAGCAATCAAATAAATTATCATATTATTCACCTAGCGTTGACAC